TTGTGTTCCTTTCCTGCCACCTGTCTTTTTGTATTTCATACTGAACAATTTGATACAGGTAGTTCTGGCTTAATTACCATAACTGGGACTGAAATTTAATTGCTAAGTCGTGCAGTCTTGAGGTGAAATGTGATATGAAGGCACACTTACTGATGACAGTTTCAGTTGTCCTGGATTTAGATTGTTAGACCAAGAGCACTCTGTTATCTTCTGCCCTGTTGTACTTGCCTCTGTTTCAACTCCCCCTCATCTCCCCCTATCTCTGTACTTTGGGCTGCCTGCCACTCTGCCTTCCCCCACATGCCACTTGGGCATCCTGGATTCTGCCTTCCCCCAGGTGATCTTTGCCATCTTCTTCCTCAGGCTACTGACAAAGCACATCCAGCCTGATCCTTTGTGAGCCAGCTGCTGACCATGCAAGGCCTTCCCTTGTGACCTTCTCAGCAGGGAGATATCAGCATCAGGATGTCAGCAGCCTTTATCAGCAGCAGGAAGAAAAAGATGGAGAAGGTCAGGAAACACTGTGACTGTTCACATACTGGTTAGATTTCTTCATTGAAGCCTATAAGTAGTGAACGCGATTGATGTAAGAAAAAATACTAACAGGATGAAGCTTAGTTAGTAATGGATCAGATAGTAAACTGAGTTGAATTCAATAATGGAAATACTTAACATGATTGTGGGCTATGCAACTAAGGATATATATCTTGGGAAAAGAATCTGTTCATGTTCATTTTAAGTTTGTATTACTTGTACATTGTCTTTTAAAAGAACTTCTACTTCCTGACTTGCCAAGCCAATTTCAAAATATGGTGTACATGGCTTCTGTGTTTCATCAGCCACAATTTGAATAAAAGTCTCAAATTCAGGCATAACAAGTGAGAATCAACTACATAAGAAAAAAGAACGCTTTCTATGTGCTTGATTGTCTTGGAACTTGACCTATTTCTATATTTTATGCTTACCCATGATTTATGATACCTGTGAGCATATCCTGTAAATCAGATCTTCTGACTGGAAATTGTAATTCACAATACAGTCTTTTGAGGAGATTTATTAGAACTGTCCAGGACAGGGGCAAGCAGATTTTAAAGCTGAGAGAGATGGAGACTAAAAATGCAATTAATAAATTAAAAATAAATAAGTTATAAAACTTTTGAAGTAGTATTTATTCATTTGATTGTTTTATTACATTTTTGAGGCCACTTGATTCCAGATGACTCTGGGAATATAGCAATTTAGAACATTGGAGGAGGAATCCTATAAAATCCTTTAAAACAGGCAGAAAGAACTGTGCAAAGAAAAACATACATTATAACAAAACACAACGAAAAAAGCTCAGCATTTCCATAAAGCAAGGCCTGGGAGAACTGCCAAATCTTTAGAAGAAGATACTGTTATTCATTCTGATTTTTTACATTCTCAACAAGGCCATTGTATTCATTATCATCATATTTTGTTCTTTCTCCCCCCTGAACAAATTCTGTTAATATCATCCGTTTTCATTTCCAAAGCCACCCACCTTTTTTTAAAAGTGCAGTACACTGGTTGTTGATAAAGAGATTGAGAATACATGGTTTAATTGTTACTTTGATTTTATTTTATCTGTTAGTATGCCATGTTTCCTATGTTCAAATAGGTTTACATAAAATTAAGCACCATTTAAAAGAACAAAACATTTTTCAGAAGTACAGTTGTTAGTAGCAACTCTTAATTAGTTGTGCGTGTAAAATATAATTGAGAGCTGTAATAATTTTATGTGCTGATGATTAATAAAATCAATTATTTTCTGTCATCTAATACATGTTAACATTCAATTAGCAAACTTCGAATATGGACTGTGTATATGAATATAACTGTTGGAAGAAATAGCCTTCTGGGTTCACTTCCAAGTGGGGAAGAAAGACACTGGAAACATGGTGACTGCTTGGAAAGGTGGTTTAATGGTGGACAGGATCACATGCCTTGGAGCTCCTGGGTGAAAAAAAGGAAGAGATAGTGAGAGTCCCTGGGTTTTATGACCTCTGTTGGGATTTGAATTTGAGCTTGTGTTCTTATTGGTTGTCAGACCCCCATGGGGCCATGCAGGGCCTGTCCTGAGTCCCAGGCTTGATTGAGCCTTGCTGGATGATGATATAATGAAAAGGCTTTGGGCAATTCCTATTATACCTCAACTTGGAGTAGATCTTTGTTATGTAAAATAGACTGGCTTAGGCCAGAGTAATGGTCCATTAGTAAAGGTGGGGAGGTGCTGAGTTTCTGCCTCTCTAAGTTTCTACTTTTCTTTTTTTAGGGGAAATATTTTGCCTTTTTAGTATATCCTAAAATATTTCATTTTCCTAGGAGAGAGGTGGGTTTTAACTTCCAACATAACCACAGGATTTTCTTCTACAAACACCTTCCCCATTTTATTTATGGGATTGGCATAGCTGCTATTCTTACTTTTATCTATTTTACATATAATTTAAATAAAGCTCTTGATATCAGTAGAATAAAATCAACTTGAAACTCTCTCTGCATATTTTATGCAGTGACACACAGTTGCAATTAATACGTTAATGTATACCATTAATTCTGTAATCTTTAATGATAATTTAAGAACAATCTAATCTGTGGCCAACTGCTCATATTTGCCAGCAACCAAATACCTCAGTTCCACTCTGTCTCTGATTCTACATGAAGTATATGGCTATTTTATACCCCCTCGTAGACTTAGACATTTGTTTCATCCATGAATTTGTCTTATCCTCACTGAAACCCAAATAAATAGGGGACCAATATCTTTTAATAGGAAATTCATGAAAATGACCCCATTCTAGTATAGATATTTATTCTCATCCATAGCTACTCACAAGTTACTCATCACATATGTGGTTCTTTGGCACTGCATCAGGAAAGATTACCTAGGAAAGATACTGTGTTGGGAAAAAGTCTCCTTTTTTCTTGTTTATGCTAATTGTGGTTGAATGAAAGTATTTCACGTATTCACCTCTTCAGATTACCCGAATTTTCTTCAACACAGTTGTATTAGGGCTACCATATCTGAGCTGAGAAAATCTGAACAATCATTAGATGAAACAAAGTTATTAGGCACTATCTCTTTTACTGCCATTTCTTGTATCTGGTAGCACAATAAAACACTCTCTTATTTATTGCTTTAGCACATGTTGATTTTCTTGTTTTCCTGTATTATTTTAAGATTAGTTCTATACTGATGCTTTGCTACGAAATTATGTGATTGGCCTTAGTTTTGGGGGAGAAAAATAAGGGGAAAAAATTGAGTTTCTTCCTACCAGCATCAATCCGTCCTGTCAGTGTGTGAGAGAGTTGAGGGCTATTTAGAAACTGAAACATGAAAACTGAAACAGTATTTGCTGTGTGAGCAAGTAGACAGCAAGGAGCCTGGTTGTGGCTTAGCTCAACTGTTCTTTACTAAAGCTGGTTGCTGCTGTCAAACTGAAATTGAAACTCCTTCTTTGCTTGTGTTTTGCATTTGGAACAGTTTTCTTTTCAGGTGGGGAGGGGGAGTAGAACTCCTTAGCATCAGAGCATGTTAATAATAATATACAAAATACTCTGATGGTCATTTCAAAAAAATCCTTTCTTAGTGAGCACCTAGAAGCCAAGAGGAACGTATGTGCCAAATTTCAAGTTTGTAGTTCTGGAGATTTTGTGATGAAGTGTGACTGATATTTTGCTTTTATATATAGAGAGAGATATTGCATTTGTAATTAGGCAATTTGTCTATGTGTGCCTGTAAAAAAGAGGGCTGGAAATGAAAATAATGAATGGTCTGTATTTTCTAGTTTGGAGAAAATGACTGAATGTTTTGGGGGGCTTGTCTCATAATCAATCTCTGAATAAGTCAAGCAGGTAGTCTAAGGTTATGAGTGAGCAACCTGTTTTCTTGTCATGGTTAAGAATTTCCAGAAGTGTCTCCAAAATGCTTCACCAACTTAGTAAGCCTACTAAACATTATTTTCTTCTTTTAAATACCATATATCATACTGACTACACAATAAATAACATGGATAGATGTTTGGCTGAAGGGCAAAATTGCATGATCTATATAGACACACATCACACTATATTTTTTCAGAACAGGCAACATTATTCATAGTGCAGGAAAGGAATTGGAAATATTAAGCTGTATAAATTAAAGTCCTGCTAAAAGAAAAAAGCAACATTAAAAACTATCTTACATCCCTATATTTTGCCATATTTTTCCATCCTTGCAAATTATCCTTGCTTTGTCCATTCCTCCTTTATACATGAACTTTTGTTCTTTGAGCAATGTTACAATTAGATGTGAATGGATGCATTGGTTCCAGTGGCATTTCTTCTATCCTTTTGTGGATTATCTTCACACTTAATTAGCACAGAAAATGAAATATTCCAATTAATTGAGAAGTCTTTGTGAATACTCTGGATTTCTATTTTTTTAATTTATTTTTTGCAGAAAAAGCAGCCTTCCCTATCCTGCCTCCTTCCAGATGCATTTGCACTACAACTCCCATTAGCTTCCAATGATATCCCCCTGCAAGAAGTGGGTAGGTATGCTGAGACTTTAGCCCAAATACAAGACGATGAGAGGATCAGAAAAACTGTAAGAGGAATCATAACATTGAAAATTTAGTTTTTCAAACATATGGCTTTAATATTCACCCTCTAATGGTGTCCATTTTTTGTGTGAAAAAGGATAGTTTGCCATTTCTGTATATGCTCGTGTTATTTTTGAATGTCAATGCTTCTATGTCTGAAAATAACATAATGTATGCTTTGTAATAAAAGCAGAATAGATGGTACTAAAATGTCTCTTTCCCTTCCCTCCCTTTCCCCCTTTTCTGTTATAAATCCCCTGAAGGCAGACTTAGCTGAACAAGTTAAACTAGTTCTTTCTGTCTTGTTTTGTTGGCAACTGAGAAGTTACTTTCTTATAAAAACAGAAGGGAGGCGTGCTGATTGGATATGGTACTAGAAAGGATATGACATCACCTATACTCCTCACTTCGTTCTGTGTGTCTTAAATCTTCTTGTTCTTTTTTATTCAGTCAATGGAAGAGGTGTTCTGAAAATGTCTATGTGTTTTGGTCACTGTTGACAGTAACGGCAGAAATCCCTTAATAAATAACTCATGGAACTTGAATCTGAGTTGATTTTGTTTTTGGTTGGTTGGTTGGTTTGTTTTAAAAGAGGCAAGTTGGAATTTGAACTCTCATGATCTCAACTGTGAAGTGGAATAACTGTAGCTCAGTATTGCAATGGATGTGGAAGAAGAAATTACCGGCCTTTGCCTATTTCGAAGTTCAGGAAGAGTCACTCTTCCACGCTATCTACTTAATCCACTGATGGGTGGTAAGTAAACACGCTCTTATCTGCAGTTTCATAGCCGAAGTGAAAAAGCCAGAGAAGTTAGCAGTTAGCAGAATTTATTTCTTTAGAATAAATGTTTTTTTCAGCAGAGAGAATAATCAATAAAAATGATTAAATGCAGAAAACAGAAGAACATGCAACGAGTTGCTAATATACAGATATTTTTTTAAGTCTGGGGATTTAGAAATGTAAACTGCATTATCTGTTTGACTTTTGCATTGCTTCATAGCATCACCATCAAATATGAGAATGTTGATTAATTGGCATAATAATTTGAACAATATCCTTCAGGGTCCTCTTTTTACCATATGTATGCTGATTTGAATAATATTAGAGTTCGTTTATCTTTCACAGCTAGGGATAATTCTTTCAATGTAATATTGGAATTGCAGCAACAATGACCTTCGCATCCCCCCCCCCCATGTCTCACTGGTGACTTTCTGTTTGAAATTATTTTTTAAAAAATATATTACTAAAAATGGCAGCATGCACATGCAATAATTATTATGATATGTTTGTGATCTGCAGTTTATGTCGAATTTCAATGGGGCTTCAGTGCTTTCAACAAACATACTGATTTTCTGCAACAGAAAATAAGTTAACCTTAGTAGTTATTCCTACTTAGGGTTATACATATTCAATTTATCATTTCAGTAATAGGTGTTTTTGTAAATTTAAATCTGAGTCATATAATCTGAAATGCATTTTAGTTCAAAAGTTATATATTAAACAGGTTGAAAAAATAAAGCAAAAACATTAAAACTGGGAAGAAAAAAAATCTGAATTGTGACACTTTTACAGATCTAGAAACTTTTATGGAGAATAGTCTCTTTATATTCAGTCATCAGAAATATTTTATTCCACCACCCCCTCAAATCCCTGAAGATTGTAACATCTGAGAAACATAAGGAGTTCAGAGTAAAGATATGAGATGGAGGATTTTAAAAAAATGAGAAAAAGTGTTCCATCCTTAAACGTTAAGAGAAAAATGGTCATATATTTCCATGTTAAAACTTCTGCTGTGTTAAAATTTCTGCTATGTTAAATCTTCTAAATAATTTCTAAAAATTACAGGAAGGTTTCTATGTAAAATTTGTACATGTACACAATTCTTATACCTAGCAGACAAACCACAATGGTAAGCTGAATTTGTGGTATGGACACAAATAGTTTGAACGGGAGTAGTCTATAAGTACCATATATATGTGGTTCAACCCTTACAATATTGTCAGAATTGATGATCTGGTAATCTAACAAAATATCAGCCATTAAAAATACCGATTTTAAACTATGTATTATTTAACTTTTGCATCCCGTAGATACCAGCTGGTGACTCTCACATGTTGTATGATGTTCACTGATGATGCTTTATATTTTTAGTATGAGTGCCATTGAGCTAAAAGCTACTTTATAGCACACATAAAAAGAAAAGATTGAAAACCAACCAATATAATCAACTCTTAAATATAAGTACAAGAATACGTTTCTTCCATCCTGAAAATATTTTACATCAATATGAAACTTAGCTGCCCTCTGTGTGGCATGTAAAACTTACTGCATTTTACATGAAATGTCAGGAATTAAACAAGGACTATCTTGTAAACTGAATGTAAGTATATATGTTATACCTAAGAATAATCAAATTATAAAATTTTATACCCCTATAGAAAGTAACTGCCTTTTAAAATTTCTTCAGACCCAGGTTCTTGCTTCTTTTTTAGCAAAAGTAAATTACATGCTAAAACATATCTCTAATACTTCCAGTACAGATTACACCCAAAGAAGTATATTTTGTACATTTTGTCTTGTGACAGAAATCCTTCAAAGTAACTATTTTTTTTACATTTTTTCTTGTTATTTTAATGTAAGTCTGCAGTTTGGATACGCTGATGGAATCATCCGAGGGTATTATTGGGCTAAAGCGAGGATATAAAAATGAAGTGCTGACTTTGCATCTTTAACAAGAGACATGTTGGGAGGGCATGACTGGGTTTATTAACACTTTTTGCCTATGCAAATAATAGCCGCAGAATACAAAGCTGTTTCACCAAATTCAGTGCCCTTTTTGAACGCATTTTTTAATTCATTTATTTTGACTGAGCTGGAACTATTGGCACAATGCCTGTTACTTTAACCAGGAACAAGACTAATTTTGTAGCTATGTTTAATTATTGAAACCTCAACACACACTTTTATTTGAAAACCTTTCTCCATGAAATCAGCTGTGCTGTTGACCTTATAACTCCCCTACTTTAACTAACATAGCATATGATCCTCCTCGTGATGAGGGACTTTGTTTTCTGGAAGTTAATTATCTATAAAAGGTAAATGATGAGAGCTCAGACCTAACTCCTACTACCACTGATATTAAGTCCTGTATTTATAGCTCGTTTGGAGCTATTATATACCCTTGACTGAAGATCAATACACTCCTGGGATGGTCCTCCTTTTCCATCCAGCACACAGCTTTGGGAAGGATGTAAGGGAAGAACGGGACACCTGCCTAGCCAGCCAGATTAGTCATATCAACCCTGGTGATAAGTGGAGTGACAGTGTTGCAGCCAGATCACCCTCACATCCAAATCAAGCCCTGTACTTATAGTTTATACGACAATTGGGAGTGATGGGAATTGAAATCTTTACATGCATGTGAGCATCAAGTAATCTGTCATTGTGATAGCTGATATTCATTCAACAGCACTGCATCTGTGCTGGAATTAATAATAATAACAAATGATATATATTAGTTATTATATTACTAATAAAATAATATATTAATAATAAAATATTGAAATTAGAAAGGCCACAAATCTGAAAGAAAATTGAGTTGAACGGGGTCATCTTATCATTTAATTCACTTCACCCAAAAAACAACATCCATGAACATTTTATCTTTAAAAAAAATGAGGCCATACTATCCAAGTTCATGCTTAAAGGAAAAGACCATTTAAAATTATTGAAGAGACGTGAAATTGAAAGATCCTTTTAATTCCTATTCATGTAAATAAGAGGGACAACATTTTTGCTGATCTGCATTTCTTGTTGCTGAATTGTGTTTGTTTAGCATTACATTAATTATCTAACACAACGTGAAAATGAAGATAGGAAATGCAATTTTTCATTTTTATCATCCAACTGAGCAGAAACATAGTCATTACCAACTGCTGGACATTCTTTTGGAAAAATTTACAATAACTTTTCCATATGTTGTATTAATACTATACTGCCATTAAATCTGTTACTTAGAATCAAATAGTACACAGAATTTTACTGACCCATATACCAAGGAATTTAGATTCTAAATTTTGACATCAATGAAAAGAAGAAAAATGAAGGAAAGGAAGATAGAACTTATAGACTACTCTGTTTTATATAGCAAGAAACTTCAGATTAGTTGTAGGCTGAGTTCATATGCAATGTAGCAACTCAGACACTGTTAAGCTCTTGTAGAAAAACCAGCTTAGACATAGCATTTAGATGATAGAGGAGAGGTGGTTGTTTAGGTGTTGCTGTAGGAGCAAAGTCACAATTAGGTATTTTGTGATATAAGTGGGAACAGAAAACATGGGTCATGGGTCCATACATTGGCTCTAGAAATGGAAAGAAATCTGGAATATAAGATCTTAAGTGGAATCAGAGCCATTCTTAATGTAACTAAATATAAATAAATTAGATGTGCAAATGTTTGACAAGTCCACCTCCCTGCCTATGTTTACATATGGAATCGAGTGTGTGAATGGGGTCTACCCATGGAAATTGATATGCCCCAAATGCAGTTCACATTCAGAATGCTTGATGTGGTAATCAGGAGCGGACTTGAAACTCGTTCCTGCCTTATGTCATGTGTATAATTCCTACCTTAAGGCCATGTATGAAATCTGTTATAGTTAAGGGGTTTTACCTTCTTTTGGTTTTGTTGGAGGTAAAAAAAGCTGTGCCTTTTTTATAAATTGTTTTTCCCACAGTAGGCAGCCAAATAAAATGAGCAGCATAGCAAAAGGCACAGAAATGGTAGCAATCATCGTGATGACCGACTTTTATCTGTTTCACTAAGTGTGATATTTTTGGTGTCCCGTCCCCCCCCCCCCCCCCAGTTATATGGGGCTTAAGATAAGAATGACCTGTCAGACAATAGCATATAATTGCATTTGCTTATTGAAGTAGTATAAAGTATTTAATCACATTGAAACTCATAGATGCATATAATCTTTGAAAATCCCTTAGGTAGTGGGAGCTTTATTAAGGTATTATCTAAATTCAAGTATAGAGATCTACTAATTAAATTATATCCTTTTTCACCATCTTCATACAGATTTTGTCTCTGACTGGTCTCCTTTACATGAAGCATCCATTCATGGGAGACTACTTGCCCTGAAGAAACTTATCAATCAGGTATGGTGATAGAAAGGAGATCAATCTTTGCTCATCCAGATCATTAAATACTTTTCTGAAGACAGGCTTTATACTTCACGCTGTAAGAATATAAGGTTTACTGTGCTTTGACTTCAAGGAGATCTGTATTGTAGTATTCTCTCTCCCTCTCTCTCTTTACAATAATTACAGCTAACTTTGTCATTTTTATTTATACATATACATGCACATGCACATCATTAAAAACATTAGTACTTCAAAGGTGCCATTGACAATCTGAGGGCCAGAATTCTGCTGATCAGTGCTGCTTTTGCCTGCTCATAAAGTAATTGCAGAGTTAGGACCATTCTTAGTTTTGAGGAGAAGACTGTTCCATAAAATGGGTCCACTACTGTGGCTTGTTATATGATCCATACCATCCATTCATTACAGGTTGGAGGGAATGGACCAACAACTGGTGTTCACTAAATTACTGTGCAGGTGGCAAATTCAAATTTAGAGAGATATTTCAAGATGTCTCCCAGAGCTCTGCTGTAAAAAAACCTACCCATTATAACCAGCACTTTGAATTGAACCTAGTAGCCGTTTGGTAACCAATGATGTGACTTTGGAATAGGAGTATAGGGAGTTCTCAGTGTATGATCAGTTGCTTAGTGACCTTTCAAAGTTACCATGGATACCCACCCCAAAGGTTCTTATGACCCAGTTCTGAAGTTCTGATGGCCACCTCCCTTGTAGTTATGCGACTGCATATCAGGTATCAGGCTCACATTTGTGCCTGTTTGCCATGTTCCGCAGTCATATATTTTATCATATATTTGTCCAAACTAGTATTTTCTTCCGGTTTTTCAGCAAAAACGTGCCATAGCTAACAATGGTTTCACTTTATCACCATTGCATTCACTTTATGACTCCTGCGTTTATGACCACCTCATTCTTAATTTGAGCTTGTTTGGCCCCAACTAAATCCTTACAGTCTTCAGACACTCATTCAAGAATTCCATGGTATCTCTGGTTGAGCTTATATGTGGGTACATATGGTCCTCAATTTATCACAGTTTGTTTAATAACTGTCTGAAGTTATGGCAGTGCTGAAAAAGTGACTTACAACTAGTCCTTGTGTCCACATGATCAGAATTCAGGAGCCGACATCTATTTATGATAATTTCAATATCCCATGTGATCATCATTTGTTACCTTGGGTCATGTGATCTTCACTTGTGACCTTCACAGAGGGCTTCTAACAAGCAAAGTCAGTGGGGTTCATTTAACAACAACATGAGATGCTTAGCAATTGCAGCAAAAATGGTAAAATCAGTTACAGTTCACTTAATGACACATTGCTGACAGAAGTTCAGGACCCAATTGTGATTGTGAGGACTACCTGGACTACCATTCACATAGGGATAACATTTCAATTGGTGAATGAGCTTCTTCATGCAGAAATTAAAAAAATATGGGGAAAAGCAGCAATCCTTGAAAAACCTTGGAGTTCCTTGCAGATTCATTTTGTTATAGCTATTATGTGGCATTCATGCATTTTGATTTCATTGTGGTGTGTAAAAATAACTTACATCCAGGCTTGACATTTCATCTTTAACATGAATAGGCTAGGTGGGAAACAAAAAAGTATAGCTGAGAAAAAAGTATAGATTCTGTAAAATTCTGTCCTGATTTGCTGAGTCATTTGTAGAAAAATACAAAGTAAAACATAGTAAAAATTTATTAAAATGCAGTATAATTGTGTAGGTTCTTCTTCACCTAATCCAGAAGAATAGGTCTTTTTGACAGAGGAAACGGTTGAGCACTCAAGTTTTCAATGATTTGCTGAAAATGCACCCATAAACATAGTGGAAGTCAGAATTGAATTACATGTGATCAATCAGGATTTAATTAAAATTAATTTCTGTGAATATATTAATTTCTTCTTCCTTCACATTAAAAGACACTTAAAAATATTAAAAGACACTTAAACATGATTTTTGGGGAGCTTTCAATGAAGCTATCTGCTCTGAGGCTGTAGCCTGTGGACTTCTGGTCATTGAAAATTTGCAAATAAATCAATCAATTTAAATAAAACTATTTGTAAGTAAATATTGTTTTATTTTGAAGACTTCAGAGAACTTGAGTGACTTAATTTCTCTTTTTGCCTTTTTTGAATCCATACTTTCATGCTTTTGAAAAAAACAAAATAAAATGATGAGAAGAAATAAATCAAGCCTTTCTTCTCCATGTAGTAGTGGTAGTTGTGGTGGAATGTGGATCTTGACACATGTCAATTTTAGAAAGCCCTAGAGAGGCATATCAGGGCTATTCACTACTCTCTCAGCTCAGATGTACAGGAAAAGTAAAACAGGCTGATGTCAAAAGTGAAAGTATTCAATTAATGTTAGCTAGAACTATTGTTAAATTAAATGCATTTTTGAGCAGATAACTTTTATAAAGTTCAACTCCACTTCCAGATAGCTTCAGAAGAGCAGTATTTTAAATGTCAGGTTGTAGTCTAAAAATATACTAATGAACAGTTTGAAAAAGATGGAATCTCTGTATGCTGTTGACAGAAGCAAATTTTAGCTTTATTTAGACATAACATATAAGCATTTCATCTCTAACCTTAAACATGGAAACAGACCTTTCACTCTACCCCTACCATTATGTCTGTAAGTAGTATTTGGATTACTGTCTGACTAACATTCATGGTTAGTGGTGAGGTGAACGGAAGGACAAAACTATCTGGAGCAAGTGACAGCCCTTGTCTGGGCTTGGACCTCTGGTCAGGCCTGTTAGGTTGGGCTGTGTGGGCTGAAATCTGAAGCCTCTACAAAAATCCCAGAAGATGTCAGCAGTAAGCAGTTCTTTACTGTTGCATAGAGGTGTCATGTAATCCCTGGAATCAAGATCAATTCAAGGACATTTTTGCTATTGGAAGGTGAATCTATAAAAGGTGCCTGGTTGGTTTATTTATTTATTTCCTGAATGTTTGGTCCACATAATAACCAAATTTATCTAGCTAAAATGCCACTGCATCTATATTTTGACCTTGTAATTTTGCTGAAATGCCAACAACAGATGTTTTGAGCAAGGTCTCATTAATATTAACCAATTTCCTCTATTAAATGTTAAAATAAGGAATATTCCAACTGGACTCTTACGCTGTCATGTCTCTGGAAGCATTCTGATTAAGAAGAGTATTTTCTCTATCCTTTTTGTGTCTTAAAATGGGCTATTGTTTTATGCCAATACACACACACACACACACACACACACACACATATATTTTCTTAAATTTTCGCGGGAACTTACATGTATGGTATTCAGCTTTGTTCGGGTATTTTCCCACATCATTATAGTTGTGCTTTTAAAGTTGTAGCAATGTTTTGGCAGAATCTCATCTGCCATCATCAGGCTTCTGTATAGTGTTCATCTGTGAATCAGACTTTTATAGTGGTTTCAGATTTAAATTTAGAGCAGCCTATTGCTGGGCCAGAATGGTTTTTTCTTCATCCTGATTGGTTGGGAGTATTGGTCTGTGTTTATTGGTCTTGGAGTTTGCTGTGTTCTGCTTGATTGGTGTTTCTAATATCTTTTGTCTGTTTTGGGGGTCTTTTTGTATCTTGATTGGCTGGCAACATTGTATTCCTTTATTGGAGGCCTTTAGTGCAGCTTGGCTCCGGGTAAACGGATGGCTATCATTTGTTAGGAAGCTAGGTTTCATCTGGGTGCCTGGTTGGGGTGTGTTTGAGCTGGAGGTATCGGGGGGATCTGTTTGTGCCCAGGTGCTTTTCTGGCTAGTGGTGTGGAGATTTTTTTGTTTGTGAATGCAGGCTTCCAAATGATTGACAGTCTGGTGGAATCATCTCTTCTATTCATGCTTTCAGGTCTTTTTTCAATCTCTGTGGCTTCTCTGATGATTCTGTGGCTGGGGTTTTCTATAGTGGCTAGGGTTTTGGTGCCATTGAAGTTGATGCTATGACCTGTGGCTTCCATGTGTTGGACTAGTGAGGAAGTGTGTTCCAGCTTTTTTACTGCATTTTTGTGTTCATCCAGGTGGGTACTTATTCTTCTATTGGTCTGTCCAATGTATGTGGCAAGGCATGATGCACAGGGGACTTCGTCTATGCCTTGGTTTTCCAGGTCAATTTTATCTTTGGGGTTTCTTTGGGATGACTGCTATTTTTCTGTCTGTTTTGAAGGCAGTCTTGATGTGATGTCTGTGTAGTATCTTACTAATTTTGTCTGTAGTACCTCTTATGTAGGGCAGGACAACTGTTCCATAGGTCTGTTCATCTTCTGGGTCTCTATTATGTCTCAGTGTGTTTTTATGGATCAAGCCGGTGATTTTGCTTTTGTGGAAGCCGTTGGCTGTCAGTACTTTAGTCAGGGTGCATAGTTCAGTCTTAATGTGTGTCTTGTCTGCCAGGTGTTTGGTTCTAGCAATTAGTGTTTTAGCCACGGAGTTTATCTGTGCTGGGTGGTGGTGGGATTGGGCGTTGAGGTAGCAGTTGGTGTGTGTTTTCTTCTGGTATACAGTGTGTCCTAGTGTGCCATCTGTTTTTTTGTAGATTAGTACATCTAGGAATGGTAGTTGTTTGTTTGTTTCCATTTCCATGGTGAACTTGATTTTGAGGTGTGTGCTGTTTAGGTGTGTTAGGAAATTGTTTAGGTTTTCTTTTCCATGGGGCCAAATCACGAATGTGTCATCGATGTATCTTAACCATAGTTTGGGTTTGAGGATGGCATTGGCCAGGGCTCTAGATTTGAATTCTTCCATGAACAGGTTTGCAATGATGGGTGACAGTGGTGATCCCATAGGGGCTCCTTCAATTTGTTTGTATCTTTGTCCTTTGTATATGAAAGTTAAGCAGTGTTGGTTAAGCAGTGTTCTGCTAGTTCCAGGAGGTGTTTGGGCAGTTGGTATTTATTTTTGATGATTTCGAGACTTTCTTTTATCGGGACTTGAGTGAATAGTGAAACCATGTCAAAACTTACAAGCAGTTCTTCTTGCTGCATGTGTAGATCTTTGATCATTTCTAAGAAGTGGTATGAGTTTTGTACATGTGAAGCTGCTGTTTCAGCATGGGGCTGTAGTTATTTTGCTAAGTGTTTAGCTAGGTTTTGTAGTGGTGCTCCTCTGGAGCTGACTGTGGGTCTGAGAGGTATGCCTTCTTTGTGTATTTTTGGGAAGCCATATAGTTTGGTGCATCTGGAAGATTTTTCTCTTGGTATGAGATCCAACAGACAATCATACCAAGAGAAAAATCTTCCTTTTAAGAATTTTCTGTATTAAAATATGAATCTTACTCCAAAATTTCTTTGCTTTAACATGTCCACCATAAATGATAAGTCCCTTCTTTAATTTTACACTTCCTTTTGATCCAATATTCAACTTGCATTGTGATCATTTCAGTGGTAGAAAATTTCGGGCCAAGATCTGAGTCCAAGAGTATCCTTCCATTAGGATTTTCATTGTGGCTTAACATTTGCAAAGCAGATAGTTTCCCATATATTTCTGCCATAGTATACTGTAACAGTATTGGGGAAAAGTTTGCATTCAGTAGAGATAATATTGCTGAGGGAAATTAGCACATTTTAAATATGTTCGACTATATTATAGTTTCCAAATTATAATGGCCTGTTGTTACTTAAAACCCAAATAATGGGTTAATCTACTGGTGGAAACAGTAGATCTAATTTTCAGTAATATGAATTTGCAAAGATTTGCAAAGAACATCTGGGATCCCTCTCTTACTATGATTTTTGTTATTGTAACAGGGAGCTAGTGTGAATTTTAGAACAACAGATTGTGTAACTCCTCTCCATGAAGCTTGCTTAGGAGGACATGCTGCATGTGTCAGTGTCTTATTAAAACATGGGGCCAATGTAAGTATTCAAATATCTAGAGTTATAGTGCATGAAAGAAAGAGAAATAATTTCTAAAGACTGCCTTGGTAGCTTAGCTACTGAATGTAAATTGTACCAGTGATTTCTTTGTACACTTTTTCCAACTAATACTGGGAGAAAATAATCTGATTCCTAATATTATTATTCCGAATAAACCCAAATCAGGATTAATGTGCTAGAAGTGCTTTTGCTATTTGTTTATTCATACTAATTAACAGTATTTTCCTTTTATGAAGAAAGGTGAATAAGGGGATTAAAATGTGACAGAAATGTCATCTCATTTTAGCTATGTTGGAACAAGATGAGAAATGTACTTTCTGTCAATGCTCAGAAACACTCATTTGTATGCACACAAACACACCCACCCACTCAGGACTGACAATGTTTAAAAGAGCACAGATCCTATTTTGTCTTCAATCCAATTAGTGGCATATATTTATTTTTTATTAAAGTATATTTATGAAGGTACTATGATAATAAAATGTCACTGCAAAACAATTTTCCTATAGTATTCTATAAAATGTTCCAACATGTTTACAAATAAAATATTACAATACCAGTTTTTTTCCCTTTAGGTAAATGCCACTACTATTGACTGGAACACACCTTTGTTCAATGCTTGTGTCAGTGGTAGCGTTGACTGCTTGAACCTGTTACTGCAACACAGAGCCAGCCCACATCCAGTTTGTGACCTGGCATCCCCCATCCATGAAGCTGCTAAAAGAGGTAAATTTGTCAGCATATTTACCTATATACCATGGAAACAAGAGAGGTACAACTTTGTGAAATGATATATTCATCGTTTCATTCCACACAGATTCTATACAAATCCACAAATGTCTGGTTGTTGTATGAATATTCTATAACCAAATGTTAGCTATCTGTTGTTTGGACTATAAAACAAATATCTAGGGGTGTTACAACTAATAATATCAGAGCTGGAGAATCTGTGGCCCCTCATGTGGTACAGAGTAGCCATTCCCAGCAACCTCAACCTCAAGATCAATGCTGAAGAACATGGAACATTGCAATTAATCTGGAAAGCCCATCACTTCCTCATCCTTCAGTCATAGCATTAAAATTTCATCTTTAGTCAGATCATTTTGACATCATTTCAGTTTTAATATCTCCACCTACCACAGGTTTCAAATGCTGAAAAACATCAAGCTAAATCAATGCTCTGCCTTCAGCTGCTGCAGATCCCTTAGCAACAAAAATTTCTGTATTTTCACTCCACACAAAACAAAAGGGAAAAACAAACTCAGCAGTAGTCTGGTCTTTTGCAGTCTGGCTCATCCAATGTTGGAGAGAAGGGGAAAAGGAGACAAAAGTCTTCACTTTGCCTGTTTATCTGAGCTACAGAAGAGGATTTGAAATTGCTCTATAGGATTTTTGTTCTTTATTGAATTCTAAAACTTGCTGCTGAACTGGAAATAAATATTCCCTGCTTCCTAACACTGTTGACTTAGCAGTGTGACTCCAAAAGGGGTCTGGATCTCTTTTAACTGGCACAAATCCTTGGGTGGAAACCCCTGGCTGCTCTTTCCCCAAATATGAACATTAATATTGGTTACAATTTCTCTTATCTTTGGGAAGACTACATTTAAATGTTATTATTGATATACAGATAGTCCTTCACTTACGGCCACAATTTAGCCCCAAATTTATGTTGCTAAGTGAGAAATTTGTTGAATTTTGCCTCATTTTATATCTTTCTTTCTTTTTGCCAAATTTGTTAAGGTTTTGCCAAATCACTTCAGTTGTTAAATTAGTAACACACTTGTTAAGTAAATCTGGTTTCCCTATTTGACTTTGCTTGTCAGAAAGTTGCAAAAGGGGATCACATGACCCCAGGACACCACAATCATCATAAACATGAGTCACTTGTCAAGTTGACTATCTGTATTGCTAACAAGACATAAAATTGCTTTTAGTATTTTGACAAGGATTTCTGGCTCCACAGCCTAGCTGTCTAAGTGGGCTTGTAAAGCTTGTCTTCGTAGCAGCAGTAATATTTTCTGAGTCCAGAGCAATGTATGTTGATATAAAATCTGCCCTCATAGCCGACCAATGAAGAATTGATCTCTGTTGCTGTCTTATCCCTCCCCCGCTGGTGATATTTTCAAGACAATGACTGAGGATCTCCTGACCAGCATTTAGTTTCCTTTTTGGTTCACTTGTTGGAAAAACCAATCCCCAATTGCTTTCCTTAAAATGCAGTTGGGGCAGGTTGAAGGCTCAAACTCTCCTTTTTATATAATGTAGGTATTTTGCATTTATATATAATGTTTTGTTCATCTTGGAAATTAAAGAGGTTAGGGTACAGGAGAGGAATAGGTTCTGAAGGAATCTGACCATCACCAGTAGATTTCTGAGATGCCTTTCCTTCATCCAGTCAAATCAAGAGGTGTCTTATTGCCCAATCTGGAAATCAGGATAGTAATTCTGTCTTCCTACTCCCTAATGGTTGAAGGTTCAAGCCTTGTAATAGTAAAATGTGAAAGGAAGAAGCTCTGATGCTCTATCTTGAGGTCCCGCATTCCATAAACTCTTGGTTCTCAGCTGGAAAACCCTCATGTCTTGACACTGATAGGATTCAATTGGAAGGCAAAACTGTCACTCTGCTAGGATGAGACTGCTGCTCAACAAAGCCTGCATTGCTATTCTGATGCTGTTGGAGTTTTGTCCTGTGGTGGTGGTTACAATTTTTGACCAATGGAAGAACTACACATTAAGTACCGTTTAGGATCCTTCTTCACTGGTTCAGCCACTTCTGCATAGCCAGATGGCATGGATTGTGAAGGACCTCAGTGTGAACCCATAACTATAATGGAAGAAGGTTGGCCAGAGAGATAAAGTGGAAAAAGTTTTGAAGTTTCAGTCATTTATAAAAACCAGTGAGTTTTTGTTCACTTTTCAAGTGTAAACAGCTGGGCTCCAGTTTTGGGTTTGAATTTAATGTTTAATTTCTTGTGATCCTTTGAAGGTCACACCAAATGTGTGGAAACTCTTCTATCCAATGGAGTCAGTGTTGACCATAACATAAAGCATCTTGGAACTCCACTGTATGTAGCTTGTGAAAATCAACAGTTGCAATGTGCCAAAAAGTTACTTGAGTCAGGTAATTCACTAAAAGATATATAATATCAACAAATCATTTTGCATGCCTGAAAATGTCTTTGAGTAGCTCTGGGAAGTCAGTAGTATTTGTAGATTGTATTTTGATGGAGAGGGAAGGGTATGGTGACTAGGACAATACAACACTACAACTGTATCTCTCTTCAATTTATCCATCCAGACACCTCCTCTCTTAATTTAGCTATGCTGCAAGAGAAGAAGATGAGCCATATTTGATCAGACTAAAGCCTCAGTAAATTCAGCTTTCTTCCATACTAAGCAATCCCAGGTGCTTAGGGGAAGCTCAGAAGCAGGAAGGATGCAGCAAGAGGGAGCGCGTTTCTCTTACTCATGTTTCTCAGAATACTGCTCTTTGGTATTAGAAGTAATAGTTATGTTGGTTAATATTTATTAACTGGCTTCATCTTTCATGAATGTGTACAACCTTCTTTTAAAAGACATTCCTAGTAGTAATTAACATACCCTGCTTTGTTCCACATGTTGATTTGGGTAGAATTAACTAATTTAAAACTACAGTGAACATATCCACAGTGAACTCATGGTGAAGCAGCAGGTTCCTATAGAGTTATCAAGAAGCTTAATCAAATATAATTGCCAAAACACAGTGGCTTCTAGTTCTTTTGATTTTGTCAGTTTGGCTGGGAACCTAGGCAAGATATTCCTGCACATTAATGAATTTTCCTCTGTAGATTTATATACAAAAAACTTTATCCCGCATACTCAGTAGTTTGTATAATCCAGGGGTGTCAAACTGGCAGCCCACGGGCCGGATGCATCAGACACAGGCCATGACCACCCCAGCTCTGCAAAGGGAAAAAAAAATCATGCATCGTCATATGACAGCAACGTGACGCTGTGAGTTTGACATCCGTGGTAAAAACCATATCTTCTCAGGTCCTTTTCTTTAGCAATGATGTCAGGGTTGAAGAATTTGGTTAGTTTTTCATTTCCTTAAAACCACAGCCTTGGGAAACACATGCATTGTAAACAAAAACCAATTTGAAATTATTTAAAAATGAATGAACTGTCACAGCTTCCTGCAAAAAAAAAGAAACCTCACATTGCTGTGTTGCATTAAAGATACTGAGTCTTAATGTCCCATTTCAGATTAATACAATTGATACATTACTTTGGCAGTAAACCTCAGCATTTAAACAGTTTGAAGCTATTTCAAATTAAGAAATAATTATTTAGGAGGCCTTATGCTCCTTTGGGAATCTATAAACTGGCAATTATTCAGATGGATCTGAGATAGCAAAAGAAATAAGTTACTGTTTGCTTAAAAGTTCTATCTCGTTTGTTTTAGGTGCAAATGCAAATAGCGGAAAAGACCTGGATTCTCCTCTCCACATAGCTGCTCAGACCTCCAATGTTGATTTGGTCCATTTGCTCATTGACTTTGGAGCAAATACTAGGGCTGTTAATGCAGAAGGCAAAAAGCCAATAGAGCTGGTTCCAACCAACAGTGCACTTATGCAGATATTTCTGCAGAGAGAAGGTGCCCATTAACCTTTGTTTCTTTCAAACACAGAGTACAGTATGTAAAGAACCTGAGCCATGATTTGAATGGACATATCTGTATCATATTGTTAACTCTTATCAATGTGCCAGAATGTGCCCTTATCACATACAATATTGTGAATATTTTCTCTAACGTGCGACTCCTAATGCCATAATGTGGGTGCAACCTAATAATAGTCAAAGGGAAAGCACATGGGGATAGATCCAATTAGTTCCTGTGAGACAGATTTCAGGCAAAAGGAAGAATGGTTTCAGTTTTAATAGTGTTACAATCATAGTTCACATTGTAGATTTGAATAAAGACATCGTTCAACAGGAAAGAGCAAAAAAGAAGGAAAATTTTGTAGCTAATATGTGTATGTGTTACATATGAATATTTTGCTGGATATATCTCCAGCAGGAAACTGGTTCATAATATATTTCTAGCTAGAATACTCTTATTCTCAGTAAATGTGTACCCATTCATGATTGTACACATTATTATATATGGCATTTTTCAAAACCAAGACACAAAGTGAGTCAAGATTTGTAAAAAGTTTATTCTGTTGTAGTAAGTTGTTTTGACTGGTACTGTAACAGGATTGTTTAATTCCAAATTAAAACAAAAATTATTATATGGTACCTTTTGCAATTTGTACGATATTATATTGCTGTAACTGCTTTAAAGGTCACAAACATGAATCTCACCATCAACACAGATTTAGAAACTTGATTAATTATCTATTTTAAGCTGCTTTTTGTGACTGATTAACTTTAATCTTCAACAGTTATTCTAGATTAGGAAAAACAAACTAAGAATAATTTAATATGTTATAGTTTGGAATGTTCTGCTTCTTATAGCCAGTAGAGAAGTAAATGTTTTCATTAAATAATTGTTATTCTGGATTGCAAGGAACTAAAACGAGTTTGAATTCTTTAGAAAACTGATTTTAAGATTATATTTGTGTGTTTTTTTTTGGCATTTTTTCTTTAGGGCCATTCTCCTTAATGCAGTTATGTCGCCTGTGCATCCGGAGTTACTTGGGAGTCAAAAAGAAAAAGAGAATTAGTGAACTTATGTTACCAGATGAGCTAAAGAAGTTTCTTTTGTATCTATAAAAAGTGTTATATTCCTTGCTGAAATGTACTGTGCAAGTTTTACTTCCTGGAAAAATTGTTTGTACAATTTGCACTCCAAATACCTGATCGGGATTTTCAGTAGGGCTAGTTTGTTTGCCCCTGCATATTTTAATTGTTCGTTCATATTTGGACATTTGAAAACTAAATTAAAAAGAAGTAAAGATCTTGTAGAAGAATTTCAATTCCATATAGCTGATTATCTGAGGTGTGTTATAAATGCTTCTACAGTAAACAGAAGATGCCAAGCATATACAATACTGTATACTGTTATTAACAATTTTCTGTGATATGGTCCCACAACTAATCAACAAAATATTATTATCCTTAACAGTTTTCATTATTGAAATTATATTATTTAACAAAGACTGGCAGTGTGGTGTTCCTAATAACTGGTATGGGCACAAACATTTTCCATGGCATGTTTAGATTTCTTGAGTTTAATTAAAATACATAAAAAGGGAAAGTTAGGTAAATTTCAATTAGACTGGGTCATTGACCTGTCTGTTTAAAGGCATACACACAAAAACATCTGAAATTGGTTGGCCTTAGTAATGCATGAGAGAATCTCTCATATTTTGTTGTAGATTTTATTAATGAATTTGGTTAAAGGAGTTATAAAGGGCCCCGTGGGAGGCAAGGAAATCCAATGCACTGAAAAAGTACTAATCCCTTAAAGGGAAAACCCTCAAGTGGTGGCACTCCCACCGATCCCTCAAAATTCAGAGCCATGTAGATCATGTACAGCTCGATTATTGAAGTAGTGATCGAGAGAAAACAAAAACTGAATGGGATGAAACATAAAAGTGGACCTACGGTTTGAATTATGAGGAATACTTGGGAAACTAAATGGCTAAAAATCTTTATAGTCACAGTTGGATTAAACAAATTGGTGATACTGTCTACTGGGCAGTAGATTGCCATGTTCAATATGACATATTTGTTTCAATAAATTTATATTTTGCCTACTTCATAACAGTAATTTTGGACAGTTACGATGCTTATGAAGTCTTTACTATGAATTAAAATCCTACTTTCTACATGCATTTATTGAAAAATATTCCAAATTATAACCACAAGATGGCAATCTTCCATCAGCTTTGCTGCAGACTCAATCCAGGTGTCCAGTAATATTGCACTCAGATTAAATAAAATACTTTCAGAAGTGATAATGTAAACTTTTTTTGCTTTAGTGATCAGCAGACTTCTCAGAGTTCAAGTACAAGTGGAAAAATACCAGATAAAGTGAAAGGTTGTTCAACAGAGAAAACTTTCCCAGAGCATACTAGTATCAGACTCATGTCTATTCAGAAAAAAAAATTCTACTGGATTCAGTGGATTTACTCTAATGAACAGGCAAAGAACTGGAAAATGGAGACTGGAGTTTGACATTTTAATTTAACTAACCAGTGATAGAAACATGCTTTTAAAATCAAGAATACTGCAATTCTATATATTTAAAATGTAGAGCATACCATTGCAGATTACTGTCATGGGCCACAGACATGTGTAGTTTAGCAGGGAGGGAGAGGAATATAATTAACCAGAAATCAATAACAAAAAAATTGTATCAGGAAAATATAAGAACATTGCTCAACATGCTAGTATCAATTTTCTTCACATTTATATTCCTTTTTGTTATCTAGGGTCGTTACTGCCAGCAGTTACCATTTTATACCATTTCACAGAATAATATAGATTAGTTGATTTTCTGAAATTACTCCACTGCAATATGTGCAATACACTTGACATCTATACATCTACTTTGATTTTATTATCAAATAAATAAAATAAAAACTAGGAGCTTAATTGTTTACACAATTGGCACAATTGGTTCGTTAGCTTGGAATAAATAACATTGGTTAAATGGCAGATATACCTTGCATCTTGGCTGTTTTGCTGCCTACACAAAAATGCAGGAAGCCTTCTGTGTTGCTATGTTTATTTTATTCAAATGTATTTTATATCTCAAGGCGGATATTTTATTTAAATATCTGCCTTGAGATTAATTACAGGTAATTCTGGTTATTCAGGTCTTTGGTTATAAATAATAATTATGATTATATAACTTGGGGCAGGACACTGAGAAAATCTAGTGAAAAGGAACAATAGGAATAATTATGAAAAAGAAAATCATCTCAAAGAAAAAGGCAAGGCACAGCAAACGACTATTTTGGATGAAGAACCACGTAGGGTGCTATTTATAGATATTTCTGTAGCAAGGCTACCTAGTTAACTGAATTGAAAAGTGAGGCTATCATTGGCTGTCAGCAATGATAACTATCTGTTAGCAGTGATAACTATCTAGAATTGTAGAGTGAAAATTCCCACAGCTACGGAGAAACATCAACCTCAAGTGGTTTCTATTGGCCAGCAGTATCTTATTTCTATTGGCCAGAATAAGACATTGCTAGATTTAATATAACAAAGTTATTATGTTCTTGTAAGGCCAGGTCAGATGATAGAGAACTGGAGGAAGTGATATAACTAGATAGAAAAGAGGGGAGGAAATCTCTTCCTTCCCAGTTTGGATATTTTCGAAACTGTAATAATACTTAACTTTTTAAAAAAGTATATATTATTCAACATAAAATCCTCACCCCTTTTTGTCTAGCAAGGGTGATCCATTTACATGCCAAGGGTGCTGCTCTCACAGGGTGGTCAACATTGAAGCCAATGGGTAAGACTTGGTGCCCAATAATTTAAGTTGGATTTTATAGGTCCAATTTATTAATCATACTCCTTATTTTCAGTTACTGTTTAAAAGATATGATCATCCATCCTACCCATGTAGATTTAGCTGTTGCTATTCACTATTGATAAATGTACAAATAGTTCATCTTTAATTACTTTTGAATTTAGCAGTGATATCCTTCTAGTGGTCAGATTTTAGGTTGATTAACATGGAAATTTTCACTCTAAATGACATAATGAAGGAGATTATATGTTCTAGCATGCATTATCATTAGAAAAGAGTGTACAGCATACCTAAACTGTTTTGTTGTGCTCAATTGTAGAACATGAAACCCAACTATGAAACAAGATGCAATCTCTATTCATGTTAGGTCTTATACATGGAATTAAAGGCATCAGCTTAACTTAATTTTTATATCAAGAAACCACTCTGTCCTTGATGTTATTCATGGACTTAATAAAGCAAGTTAACTTTTTTAGGGGGGTGATGATGCTCAAACATGTGAATATGGGTATTTTCTAGAAAAATGTTCCATTATTTTAAAAGACAATTTCTTTTTCCACGGGCAGCTACAAAACCTCGGAATGTCCAATGTTCAATTTTTGTGTTTATGTGATAATCAATTTTGAAAGGCAATAATATTATTCTAAGAAGAGATACCTGCGGAATAACTTCCATTCATTATTTTACAAGCATTGGAATGACATCCATACCATTCATCTATTTCACCTAGATGTAGTATATTGCTTTGGAAAAATTAAATTGCAAGAAGGCTTAAAAGTTATATGTAGTCTAATCAAAATTCATAGCAACCCCTTTATTTCTATATGAGCAGGATAAAACACACTTCTGTAACTCCACTTCTTCTGTGATTACTTCATTTTAAGACCATTATAACAAACTCTTGTAATACAAAAAATGTACAGAAAAATTTAGCAACAATGCTCCCACTATATAAGATCACATTTGAAAGGAAAACAATGACTAAAACAAATCCTTCTGATATTATTTGACATTCTCCTTGACAATAATTGGGCAGGGTTTATTCCTTTCATTTTTTTCAATATGCAGAATTATTTTAACGAAGGCTGAGAAGAAATTAAGGTACTAGCACCTTGCAAGTATTAGGCAACTTTGGAGTCTAAAATAATGTCAACTCTCAGTTTTTGCCATATTCTCAGCTTCCCAGTACCTGAGCAAGCTCTTCAATCCCTCTATGCACATATCAAGAGCAACTGCGTTCTCTTCGCTGATGATGTAAAGCTGTTCAATACCACAGGCAATACTGCTACCCTTCAAAAAGATCTTGACTATGTATCAGAATGGTCAAACAAATGGCAACTTAAAATCTCAACAAATAAATTCTCTGTCTTACATATTGGCAAAAAAAATCAGAAAATAAAATACAGGCTGAATAGTCAAGACCTTATTGATGATCCAAACTCTGTCAAGGATCTTGGAGTACTCATCTCTAAATATCTAAGTGCTAGAGCCCACTGTTAACTACATAGCCAAAAAGGCATTAAGAATTGTTAACCTTATCTTACGTAGCTTTTTCTCTGGTAATATTACACTAATAACTAGAGCATACAAAACATTTGCTAGACCAATACTTGAATACAGCTCATCAGTCTGGAACCCACATTACGTATCTGATATTAACACAGTTGAGAAAGTCCAGAAATATTTCACAAGAAGAGTTCTCCACTCCTCTACTCGTTGCAGAATACCTTATGCCACCAGACTTGAAATTCTAGACCTAGAAAACCTAGAACTATGCTGCTTTCGGTCCGATCTAAGTATAGTATATAAAATCATACATTGCAATGTCTTACCTGTCAAAGAATACTTCAGCTTCAACCATAACAACACTAGAGCAAACAATAGATACAAATTCAAGGTTAATCGCATCAAACTTGATTGCAGGAAATACGACTTCAGCAACAGAGTGGTCAATGTCTGGAATACTCTACCTGACTGTGGTTTTTTTCCCCAAACCCCCAAAACTTTAACCTTAGACTGTCCACTATTGACCTCACCCCTTTCCTAAGAGGTCTGTAGGGGGCGTGCATAAGTGCACCAACATGCCTACCGTCCCTGTCCTATTGTTTCTTTTATTTTTCTTATATGTACCCATTTCATGTATTCATAATTATGTATATACTTATACCTATTATCTTGTAAGGGATTGACAAATCAAAATAAATAAATAAAAATAAATCATAAATATACTAGATGGCGATGGGATAAATTTTAGTGACAAAAGGCCTACCTTTCTGTTTGGAAGAAGCACATATGAAATAAGCATGATTCTTGAGAAACATGACTTGTGGCAGTTCTGTTATTGAAGTACCTCTATAGCAGGAAGGCCAGTCCTGGCATCTCTCTGTGCAGTGTCTTAGAGGTATGGTCTTCAGAGCCACTCCAATAGTTGTTGGATTATGACTTTTCATGTGTTAGAATGTGAAACTGTTTAAATACATGGAGTGTGACCTTAATAATACAAGTAAATTAAAATGTATGCCTTCTTCTTCAACCTATTAGTTTTTAGGACCATTATCTGTAAAATGCCATCAAGTGCTGATGTTTCAGCTACAAGATGGAGTCTGCTTTCAGGTGTTTTGAAAGGAGAAGGTTTTCCCCACTCCCAGAAAGATAAAGCTGTACAAGTAACCAGTAACATTTTCCGAAGCTCAGAGGAGCACATGACTCTACTTCGGTGAGATGAGTAAGAGAAAAAAGCAGCAAAGTGGGTGGGTTCAGGAGTGGCAACCACAATAGCTGTGGTAACAACAGCAAGGGAATGAGCAGTGCTGTCTTGATATGCAGATATATTCCCCCTGAGAATGAGGTTACATAGGAATAGGGAGGGAGGGAGGGACAGGGTGGGAGAGAGGGAGGGAGGGAGAGAGAGAACTTATTATACTAGTATTTCAGTTGATCCATTGGTTCTGATTCTTTTTCTGACCCCTATACTTTTTGGGGGATCCTGATACACAGCCTATTGACTGGGAATGCTGGAAATTGCAGTCCAACCCACCTTCAGGAGCCAACTGTGAAAACTCAGCAATTGATAAAACACCTTGGAGCCAGACAGTCTTTGAAATATGCCACCTGGAGAGGTTTAGAGTTTTGTGCCAGGTTAAGAGTCTCAAATCGTATTAGATCTGGTAGTTCTTGTTTTTCTCTTTCAGTCCAACTCCTTTCAGCACATCACTTAATTTAGAAGTGTATCAATTAGTTAGGACAAAGCATCTGCTTTATGGGAAATTAGGTAATGTTGTCTCATGCCACTTGGTAGCATTATGCATCTAATTCAAATTTATTCTAACAAAATCTTGTCAGGATCAGAGAGGAACAATAGTAGAGAGTAATAATCAGGAACAATGCAGATGGACTGGACATTGGAATCCCTTGTCTTTTATGTAATAAATTGTCTTTTAATTGCATAGTGACTTCTTGAATAATTGCTTTAGAAAAAACGAAAAAAGACTATTACACTAGTGTAATATGTTATTTGCAGAGATGGGCAAAATTAGAATTGTGTTCAAGGTTGAATTAGCAATTGAATAATTCATTCTCTCAGTGTTTCATAGCCACCCTCAGCTTTCAAGGAAGGTAACAATTATATCTGAAGTTGTATGAAAGAATCAGGAAGTCATTAGTGTTTATCAATAAAGGTAAGTAAGAAAATAAATGTACTATAATATTATTTGAAGGCCTCTAGAATGATTCATAATTACTGCCAATTTGCTACAAGAGGAATGTAAAATATTTTCTCAATATTGTTTCACCACAACAGAATTCATAGGGACCAGCTATTTAGAGTTAGGATATGGCACTTCCTACACCAAAGACATACTGACTGTGTACAAAAGTCTTCCAGAGGTCATGCTGCCTAATATTTGAACTGCATCTGCTGCTATTTTGTGAAAGCTCAAACATCATATAAATTTATATTTGATTACATTAATGAATCTCCAACTCCTTAATCTTTTTGCCTCCACACTATAATAAACAACAGATGCATCAAATGTGCCATACTTAAAAAAAAACCCCAACCAATCAATCAGAATAGATCTGGAAGAGACCTACAAAGTCTTCTAGTCCAATCCCCTGCT